GCTGTACTCAGACAAAAAAAAGTTCTTATCCATAGGTCTGTTAACTTTCCTGTTCCGAGACTATTCTTGATTTTTAAAAGCGTGAGTTGACCACGGAAGTAGCGTGTACAGCTGCAACTCGATTGTAATTTTTTTTCACAGTTATTCAGGAAACTTAAGCTAGTAGCCAGGTAGGGTGCTTGCAAGATTTTGGCAAAATGCCTAGATAAAGAATCTGTGCCCAGTTTTATTTGAAGTATAGCCTTTGCACAAGTGACCGCGTGCGAACTGAAAAAAAGGCAGCGCATTCTGTGTAATGTGAAGCAAGATAAAACGAGTGTTAGATATAGTATGTAATATATAGCATGTACATTTGTGCCCCATTTTAGATTGTTGCAAACTTAAATTTAAGACACAGGGAGAGTACAAGATGTTACATATGCGCCACATGAAGACAAGTAGGCTATATTTAAACACGGTCAATTAGAAACACAAAACCAGTAAATTGGAATTAGTTAAATATCATTGGTTGGGTTTGGGATAATCCTAAATCAATCCCTTCCTATTAGCATTTTTATTACCTCATCTTTGTGCAAACGTAAATGGGATTGCGTCTTTCCCTGGTCCAGACAGGTTTCCTGATTTTGGCGTGTGAGGTGTGTTTTAAAACTTAATAATAATAACTCATGCTGCTAATACTATGTAAAGGCATTTGGATAATCATTCCTAGATATTGTTGTTAAAATATTGGATTCCTTTACCATTTCTAGGACGGTTATCTCCGTAGTTAGGCGATATTCGTTCGAGGAATGGCCTATATGCCATTTACAATAGTCAAAATCCTCAATATCAGTTTTATTTACTCCTACAGATACAAAGATATAGATGCATTGCTCCATCTGCGCACGTATTGACCACATTTGTGTAAAACAATCAAGATTTTTCTATTGTATTAACAGTATTTAATTTTGTGGGAAAAATAAACTTTTTTTCATATGAATGTGGTTTTGTTATTTTAGATTTCAGTGACACAATATATATATATATTTTTATTTATCCTTTGCTTGAGTAGTTAACGTCAACAAGCCGGGGGAGGGGGTAGAAGTTTATAGTTGCAAAATGTTCTGTCATACATGCAGTTAAACCCCTTAATCTGTCAAAACAAAAACATCTTCAGAGATGTTTAATGTTTAATATACAGTCACCCGAAGATAATGACAGCTAAGCATGATATATTTTGGTACATTTTTTTCTTTACTTGTGTGTTACTAAAGTACTTAATCAAGCCTTCATGTCTGTTAATCCGTTGGCTTTTCAACTTCTCACTTCAAGCACAAGTCCATGGCTCCGATTATATATAGGCCTCGACAAAGCGTATAAGGCAATTTGAAAATTCGTTATTTAGACTACTTCTTAAATCCTCATGGTTGTAAATGACAGATGGAAAATGACCAAGACGCAGATAAATCTACCCTTACAAGATTCCCTTTCATTGCAAAGTGAGAAAATGGACAAAGGCTGACCCTAACTCGGTTACAAGCAGCTTTAATTAACACCAGCTTAAGCAGTTGAACAGGCAACTGAAGAAAAAAAAGTTAAAGAAAGACTTTCAGGCTGAGCGCCCCTTGACAACCTCTTTTTCCTACTGTCATTCAATATTTAATGCACTATGTTTATAATGCTACAAGAAGTGATTCTTCCTCAGCAAGTACGTTATCTTCCACGGTGTTTATAGACAAATAATAAAATATATTTTAATAGGTATACAGATAACTTATTTCTAAGGTAAAATACAGTACTAAACGCTTGGCGTATTGAGTTTTCCCTTTAGAAGCGATGTAAGGAATAATGTTCTCTCTTATGATTTCAGCCGTTTTTTAATGACCATAAGGAAAACGCACTTTAAGAAATCAGAAAATTAAGAATGTGTTGGCCAATCACCGCATTTTGATTAGTGAACAGTCGACAAATCTGTGTGCATGGTAGAAAACTGGAACAGAAAACGGTCAGACAACAGCCCACAGATGAGATTGCCTTTAGTCTGCAGTGGCGTCGCACACTAAATGCTGCTCTGTACGGTTTTGGTACCTTATATGTTGAATTAAATCTAACATGAGTTTTGTAATCGATTTGAAGAGGATGCAATCGTGTTACGTGCATGGTTCTTCAAATTCAGTGGAAAATAAAAAAAAAACATAATCTTTGTAAACACGGTTAGTCTACCCGGATTAGAACATTTGCAAAGCAAATAAATAAATATTTTTTAAGAATACGACATAAAAGGACAGTTCAGATGAGACGGTGAAAGCGGCTACAAATACAACCCAGCTGTATTAGTCTACGTGCGAGCACCATTTTGCACCAGATTGAACATTTCGGTGATTAATATAATATTTTCCATTAACCCTGTTAATTGACTTTACCTTCTCTGTTATAGAGGAACTTGTGTTTTTTCAGAAGGGTTTTGCCTAGTAGGTTTAGATTAGAAAATACTTTAAATGTTGTACAGATAGGAATAAATCGAAGTTGGCAGGGTTCATTTGGAGAAACCATTAATTCCACCTTAAACCACCACAGTACCCAAGAAAGAAGGGGAGGGGTAGTTAGGGAGGGGGTGTGTGGGGAGGGGGAATGAGACCTAACGGTGTTTCCACCGAGACTCCTGCTTTGTCTTCTGGAGAGTGGCGTCTGCAAGTCTGACTTAGAAAGTTACTGATTTGCAGGCTGCATGTTAAGGCAGTCCATGTAAGTGATTTCTACGGGCATCTCAGTAAAGGAGAACAAATCGCTGACAAAGGAGAGCCTTTTCAATTCAACTGCGTCGTTAGGACAACCAAAAAGTATTCCTTAGATAATAAGTTCCACTTCAAAGGATTTCTCATTCAACGGTGACTGCTTCACCCTTTTATTAAGTCCCGTTTTTTTTCACTCGGAGGAATCATCTGTGTGGTTATTTTTCATCGTGTTTATTTTTCGCCATTCACCGCGCACTTGTATTAAATAAACAAAGAACAATCATTTTCTCTCCCAAATAACGGTTGTAGGACGAAAAGGAAAAATGAAACGACAATAATATTTTCAGATGAAAGTTGGTTGTGTACAAAGGGGTAAGGGGAGGTGGGGAAAAGGCCAAAATATGAAAGATTCTGATGAAGTGAAAATTGACTGAGCTAACATGGCATGAAACTAAAGGTCAATGCAACTGTATCTTAATAGAGTGTCTCGAATTGAGGTGGACTGTTCTGAATGCCGGTTGCTTTTGGTGTGCTCATTGCCATAGCAATCCAAACGCTCCATGTTGATGTACCATAAAAGCAGTAGTTTGAATTTCAAAGAATCTGCCTTTGAACTTCGCACTGCCTGATTAGGCACTTGTGCCTTTTTGTGTCTTGGGATGAGCTTCCTCTGCAGTTTTTTTTAACGTTTCTTATTTTTCTCTGAACCGAGCAGCCAGGCTGTGAGTGCAGAGACGGTCCTAACGACTGAAGGCAAATCTTTATATGTAGATGCGAGCGAATTCTGTTATTCTCTGTATGACATAAACACTATACTTTCAAGAAACAGGATTTCTCGTCCAGAGCTTATCGTTTCTCCAATATTTCTTTAAGCTTGTGTATCTAATATAAAAGTCAGACTCTTGGAATGACAGTGAACATTACTTAATAATTATAATTTACAGTGTAATATGAGTTTATTTGCATATACGAACTTTATTTATTGTTTAGATGTACTTGTAGCGTCAATGTTGATTATTTCTTGTAAACACACTTGCGTGTTACAAAAACCTTCTATACACGCACTTGGACAAAGCAACCTATATTTCCATGCTTGATCAGAATGATAGCACTTTACAAACTGTTAATACAATACCCTTTGTCGAAACCTTCAGAGGTTCATGAGAGACGATGCAGTCTCTGCTTTGATGATGTCCAGTTTAGTGGCAGTAAGTGGTTTTCTACCAGATATATTCAAATGTGAACGTCTTGCTTGCCAATTACCATAGAAATCTTAACACACCATGAAGATTGTCCAAGCGCCAAGCCTTCCGCTCTCGAGTAGATTACTTTGAAGTGGAGCAGGACTTGCGCTGGTCAATTTTAATTCTATAGACTGGACAGAGAAGACTATGAAAGTGAGATTGTGCGTTTTAATGCAGAAAATAAGAGGGGGAAACTTGTTTTATATACTCTATACAAGATTCTGCTATTGTCAGATCTTTTATCTTTTATATTTCCCATGAATGATTCATGCATTTGTGGCTTTGTGTTGTCCTGCCTTTCAAAAGGGACTTCATTAAGGAGCTATAAGTTTTCCCATTGATTGGCGCCTTCATTTACATGCCTGTTATTCTACTTGGTGTGTTGTTATTTGTCGACCTGCCTGGAACAAACGTATTTTCATTTTCATTCCCTCCTAACAAATCAAATAGAACATTGTTTTTTGAACAGTTAGCTTTTACATGTTGGGATACATTTTCTTCTTTTAAAAATATATTTTAGTCCTATTGTAATATACATATATATTTTACTTCTTGGTCTCGTATACCCCAGGTGTCAGATTTGGTGGGATACGTGCGAGTCTTTTCGTGTAGGCGGTTTCAGAAAGATTTAAACTTATTCTTGTAACTACTACTGTTAAATTTAAGATGAAAAATAAATTAACGAAATAAAATAAAGTTTTTTTATAATGTATATAATGTATATGTATTTTATAATGTATATATAGTGTATATAGTTATATATTTAGTTGTTTGTAGCATCAATTGTTGCTTTATATACAATGTGTACATATACAGTACATATGCGTATTAAACATATTCATATTACATTGAGGCGTTTCATTTCAGAAGTGACTGGTTTTCGAGCTTTCTAATGTTGTAGGTCACCACAAGTGTTACTTTAAGTAACGGGCAATATATCTGAATGGCAACAAAGCGAATAACTAATGCAATTTGAGACAATAGTTTTTCATTAACGGAATCATTTGAACATGGTTTTGCGAAACGGTATTTAAACTGACAATGTATGAAAAACAAGTTTTTATTTTTAAGCGTCTGATTCCATTTTATTCAAGTTTACCACGTTGTCATCTTTTACCACAAACATCACAGACCTCCACAATCAGAGCTGGTTCATTTTTTTCTTTCAAAATCCACAGTGCCATGCACCTCGACGATATACGAAGTCATTACGCCACTACTACACTGGGCATGCGAATTGCTTTTCACATTACAGCTCATTCAAGTAAAAAGATAATATTCTTTTACAGAACACGTAAAAAAGACAAAAAAAACATCACGACGTCTCACCAAAATTAATATTATTATTCTTTGGTGTATCTGTAATTTTCGAACAATATTACGAGAGCAAATAAATTACAATTTACAAAACAACAGCAACATTAATTAACTGTAGCAAAGACTATAACACCCACGGCCAACAATACAATTATATACAAATCCGTCAGGGATAGGCCTGTCAATTTTACATCTTTAGGGTCTCAAAGGACAAATTAGTACTCTTTAACGAGTTTGTATATTTGATGCTATTTTTTCATCATAAAATATATCTGTGTATATCTTGTAAATACAACTGTCATCTAAGCGTAATTATTGGGCACGTTTCAACAACGACTGTACCCCTTGTGTTTCTTCCTTTTATCGCAACAGGCCTTAACGCTTTCCTATCGATGAAACAAAATAGAATGCGACTTCGCCATAAAATTCAAAATTATTTTTTTTCTGTGTAAAATAATTTTAAATATTGCATGGAATGTTCTCAGACGATTTCACCTTTAAAATGATCTAGGATTCTCTAAATAATTTGCTGCTCTAAGTGACATTAATGCAAAGGAATTAAATGATAATTGAATAAATGACACTGGTCTATTAAGATTCTCTGTACTTATTGTGCTGTGGACAGATTAGACACTGATGGATTGGACAGGTTAGATTTTGAAGGTTTGTGACAGAGTATGATGACATCATATGGACAATGTCATCGTAACACCATTAATCAGTGATGACTGAATCATGTTAGACTAAGACACACCACTTTATTCTTGTGGTCATGTATATGTACACACCATTACAGAACAAAGGTATGATATATATTATATACTGTATATATAGACACATCATTTAACTTATTTCTCATGTTTATTAGAACTTTGATTAGAAATATTTTTGTAGTCATAGTTTTTGGTGTTCATCAACTATATTTCTGAAAGTGAATCCTTCTGAGAAAGATGAATTACCGGAGAAGGGGGTGTGATATTTGGAACCCAGCGTTCTTATTCAATGCATCTTATTTTTCAAACGGCATTATCATCAACACAATTAGCTCCCATTGTTCACTACAAGCCTTTCACGCACAAGATCTGTCTTTTTTTTTCCAAAGGAAGTAAAAAACACAAAAAGTTTTTCTCGGAATATTGGAAATTAAAACAGTTTGTGTCTTAAGGGGGTGGACAGGGGGGTTTTCAAAGTGTAAATTTGTTTGTTTTTTTGCTTCACCACTCTGCGTCCTCTTATCGGTCCCCTCCGATCCACCACCCTGCAGGCTGATATGCTTATAGGTAATCCCCACTTACTGGCCACAGCTTTATGAAACAGGATAACATCAATAAAAAGTTTATTGTGTTGTTCAGGGAATGTCAACATCAGAGCATTGTCCTTGGATCTGTGCTTCTGTAAGAGTCCTCGTCCTCGGAGTCTGAAGTTGGCACGTCGCTGGGAGGGGTGTGGAGGTTGTTCGGCCCTCCGCTCCCCTGGCACACGTACCACTCGTTGAGGTTGGTAACCTGAGGCGAGAGGGTTGTCGATCGACTCCTCGGTGGCTCGGAGGTCGGGGAGAGGGGAGCTCCGAGTGTATTCGATGCAGCCTGGTACGCGGAGCCGGTGTTGGCAGGAGGAGGCGGGGGGGACTTGCAGTGAACCTTCATGTGCTTCCTCAAGGAGCTGGGGTGCGTGTATGACTTGTCACAGCCTCTTACTTTGCAGTAGTAAGGCTTGTCACTCGTGTGGACGTGAGAGTGCTTCTTCCTGTCACTGCTGTTGGCAAATTTCCTGTCGCAGCCGTCAAACTCACATTTGAATGGCTTCTCCCCTAAAAAAAAACAAAAACAAACGCAAAACCCATTTGGCATTAGGACCCCAAAGGTTTCCTTTAACATCTTATTACAATCATCAGAAACAGAGTCAATGCTATGACCTGCAAAGTAGAAGCCAAATTAAAGGTGCAAAGCATGGCTGCAACAAGGGCCTTTTACTCTATTTGGGTCCACTTTTTAATGGGTATTGGTAAGACCTCCTGTCAAACCCTGTTCTTAGTTCCCGTTCTTTCAACAAATATATTGATATCACCTACCCACTGTTGTACTATGGAAACTTGAATTCTAGTGTGTCAGCTGCACTTACCAACACCACAGCCCTGGAGAATTGACTACGCAATGTTTTTGAATGGTTGTGTTAATAAATGGGTGGGCACATTTGTAGCCATGGAATAACAGGTGTTTCTAGGCCATTTGCTCGTGTTTTCTTCAGAACCCCCAATGTGCTTAGAACCAGAAGGCTCCAAGGTTTTGAGCAATTGATTGCATATGCAGAACAAGAGCATGTATAGTTAGTTTACTGGCTAGCACATCTCCCACCAGACCAGAAGAGGAGGATTCGTTGCAAGGAGTGTCTCAACGCTGTATTACAAACATGATCATATTGGAATGCCTCCCCCCAGCCCCCAACATCTTCTGGAGAAAGACTCTTTCCACTTTTAAAATCAATCTGTTTAAATGCTAGGAAGTTCGTTAAAGCAAATGGAATTCAATTCCACGGTTCAAACGGTCAGATCTCTTCTCTTCTCGCCTAACGTAAAGAAAAACCGTTTAAATTGGAGCTTAGAAACGTTATCAAGGACATGTAATTTGAGCTTCTTCCAGGCATGTCCACAGCTCGCCAAAATTCCAAAGGGAATCATTAAAACAATTAACAACAATAATTTCCTTATTAATTGATGGAGTTATTAATTTTAATAATTAAAACAGAAATTTGTTAATTTAGTACGAAATGGTTGCTACATCATTAAAACTAGCATTACATATCTGTGTCTGGTATTGTGCCGTCCCACACATTCCATCTACTGCTTCTATGCTTTAAAACCCATAACACTTCCAGCATAATTGTTTCATGAGCTGTTTAACTGATAGTGTGGTTGTCAGCGCACCCTCGGGCTTTTCCTGTTTGGCATACCTTAATCGTATGACACTTCTTTACATGCAATCCCTATGCTGGACATAACCGCGTGTTTCTGGTGTGCGGAGACAATCGCAGAGCGTAGAAAGCTTTGCTTTCTTGTCTTACACTTCCAGTGTAAAAATATTTTAGCTTGCGTTATTAAATGCTTCTACCTTCTTCAGTCCTTCTCAATGCCATCAGCACGCTCCTGATTCTACCCACTCCTCCGCTTTTCCACACAAATAACCAGATAACCTCTTTTGGTTTTCTTCCGAATATAATCAATTTGCCCACGTCTGAGTTGATAATAAAACGGCACCAACACAATTAAAATAATAAGTAGAATATTGTTTTTTTTCAAATCCTGCTAATGTATTATTATGACAAGACACTATAGAAAACAATTCACTGCAATGCGCCACTGTATTCCTCTGTTTTGCATTAAAAGATTTAAATCGATACAAATCCGATGGTAAGTTTAGAGTTCATTGTGTTTCAGAAGGAACAGGAGTAAAAGGGATCAAAATAGATAAAGCACAGAGCACAAAAGCAAACTAATATGCGGGCTCGGACGAGTCTCCATGGAAGTTTAAATGTCCACATTTCAACTGTATTGTCGTTTTAATGTAACTTTCTGGTGACATGACACAATGTGTGTCAGAACAATGACTGGTCGCTTCTGAATACGGTGTCAAAAAGACATGTGGTCTTCAGACTGTCCGAGAATGACATAGACGCTTCTTGACAAAACAGGAAGCTTTAAGCTGTTCCATGCAGAACTAAGAAAAAATAAATAAATAACAAAGTCTATTCCCAGTACGATAAAGTCGAAAGCAAATCTCATTCACCCTCAGTAGCTTGTTTACGCTGCAAAAGCTAAGCTGCTTTCCCAAAGTGCTACTTTCAGCGTCTACTGCAGGGAACTGAGATTTCTGCAGCACTGTACGCGTTTCGAGCAAAGACACTGACATGCTCTGATTGCCGTGTTGGTTTTTGCGTGAGCTGAGATGAGGAAAACAACTTGGTTCATAAAATAGGCCGCTCTGCAACGACACGTTCACCCAACAGCAGACTATTCGCTGTCTAGTCTAGCTACTTTATTGCACGAAACAAAAGTTCATCTAGGGTATTTAGTGTAGCACGGCACCATCCCTCTGCATGGTTACATTAAACCATAATCCAGTTATTCGACTTCGATATTTCGGGTTTTTTATTTAACTAAATCTTGCTATAAATTATGTAAACATAAAGACTATAAACAATTATAAACATCTATACCTCTTCAAGGCCTGAAATGAATCCGACTTGCAGGCCACTGAGGGGCTGTGAATTTGATTCACGACGGAGATTTCTGGCGGAAAACATTTTAAATCGTCCATAATAGCGTAGCCTACATTAAAGTGTTAAGGGAGTTTTTATGTATATGACAACGTTATTTACAAAGAACATTTATTATTATTAATTATGTATTGATTGTTGTTTTAAATCAAAATCTAATATGAAAAATGCAGACCTTAGGGAAAATTGAACATTAATCTTTTTTTTTCCGGTTCCGTTTTTCCTCTAAGTTAAATATTTAATTTTCGGCGGCTTGTTTGCTTTAACATAAGGCATAAAGGAGTCAATTGGTAAATTCGCTTATACGACTGCCTTGCAGTGACAAAACAATAAATCATTCGAACAATTAAGTAAGCCGTAAGCACCTAAACATTCTCCAAGGAATAATATCCGTCCGTAGCGATAAATTCTGACTAGACTCGCATATCTCACGCTTCGCGTACAGTGTCGCAAAGAAATAAAACTTAGCAGCTGTGATCTCGACTTGTTTCCTGGCTATTTGTGCCATTCAGAATAAAGTAAAATAAATAAATAAAGATAACGCAACGGTCTCTTCAGATTCGAAAATACGCTGGGTTTATAGACTTTCCTCCGATTCTGTTCTCTTCTTACGTCAGAATACATATAAAAAGTGGGAGTCGGTTTCATGAAGAGAAAAACGAAACAGTCTGGAAAATAGATCGCCTTCAAAATAAACTTTAAAAACAACTTTCATTCACACATTCCAGCGTGTGCGTGTAGGCCAATTTTTGTTTTATTCTGAGATTTAGTTGAATTTTTCTTTGCCTGAAAAAGTGAAAGCTGCCGGAGCGCAAATATACTGACCTGTGTGTGTCCTCTTGTGTATCTTGAGGTTTTCCGAGCGAGCAAACACTTTTCCACAGCCAGGGAAGGGACAGGGAAAGGGCTTTTCTCCCGTGTGAACTCGGATGTGATTTATCAGTTTGTACTTCGCCTTAAAAGCTTTTCCTTCTCTTGGACATTCCTCCCAGAAACAAACGTGACTGCTCTGCTCTGGTCCCCCGACGTGTTCCACCGTGACATGGTTAACCAGCTCGTGCATGGTGCTGAAAGTTTTGGAGCAGGGCTTCTTTGAAGTTTGTTCTTGGTCAATCCATTTGCAGATTAACTCTTGCTTGATGGGCTGCCTCATGTACCTCAAAAACGCCCCCGCGGCTCCGTGAGGACCTGCCGCGATGTTCACATTTAAGTTCATGGAGTTGTAGCTGTGGAGGGAAGAAGGTCCGTAGTGCTCTGGCCTGTGACCGAAGTGCTCTGGCCTGCCATAAATGTCCCCCGGAAGACCCAAACGCATCTGCCCGTTGAGAGCGTGGTGATGGGCACCTGGGGCAGCTTGTTCGTGAAGTCCAGAAAAAAGTGGATGGGCACCACCTTCCGAGTGCCCGTAAGCACCTGTTGGGGAAATAAACATGCCATGGTGATGAGGGGAGGAGGCGGAACTATGCTGGTCGCCAAGTGCATGCATAGCAGAGGCTGAAAGCTCTCTCCTGAGGATGTAGTCCCTGCTGGTTGTGTAGCCTGAGTGGGGGTGAGCCGCGGGGAAGCCAACTGTAGTCTGTGCAGAAGCGAAAGATGCCGCGGTCTGGGCTTCAGGGTGGCTTTGAATGGGCTGAGATGGACTAAGTTTGAGAGCATTTGTCTGTGCCATGTGCTCAGGTCCAAATGGAGTGAGTGCCACTCCAGGGTCGTTGCCCATCTCCCCAGGGTGGAGGTGGGCATGGTGAGAGTGAGGGTGATGCCCCCCTATCCCCGGGAAGCCTGTCATATTCTGATGAGGAAGGGGTTGAGTCGCTGCCAAATCCGCTAATCTTAGCGCCGGATTCCTCTTGCTCAAAGGGGGCTCCATAACTACACAGTCAAGTCCATCCACACTCACTGGTATTGTTTTTCCCCACTACACGCCTTCCAAAACATTAATATATATGTATATAGCGGTCTCTATAACTTCTTTTGTCCTGCCTCTAACTCTGCTTGTTCCTTTTCCCACTCTGTCCTCAAGCGATTGGCAGAACATACAACAGTTGGAAGACACAGTGGGGAATAGAGTTTAGAAATGGCACTGCGGGTATTGGACGGATTTCGGTGACTGGCAGTTAGGAGAACGAAGCGATTGGCTGCCTTTCAGCGCAGAGGCACAGCAGGGATCCGCCCCCTCACTCTCTTCCTCACTGTTGTTTCAAAAAAGTTGTACTCGCAAAGTTAGCGGCAAATCTGTGTGTTTTTCTTTTCGCTGATAGTCGCACACATGGATGTAATCAAAGATTTACAAATAGGGCGTGTAACTAGAAATGAAATTCTAATCTTCATGTTTGCGTTTACCCCTTTATTTTGCCTACTGACTGCAGAAAAGGAGGCTATAGAAATACAATTACATTAAGGCCCAAAGATTAAAAATGCGGTGCGTGAACATTAATATATTTCAAAAAATTTGAAAATATTTAGTGGCCCACTGAATCTCACATCAGTTAACGATCTTTCTTAGAACTGTATTATCGTACTGTATATTTGTTTTGATCAAGATACAAATCTTAAAATGAAGTACAGAATCTTTATTTTTTAAAAAACAGGTAGTATGTGAACATATATATGCACATATATGCATAAGTACAGTCAAATAAACACGAGGTTGTCGACGACATCGTTTCACATATCTGAGGACAGCATTCTGAATCATATAATAATTAGCTCAGCCTCTGAGTGACGACGAACTTGCGTATTTTAAAATTCACTGTTTCTGAAACAGATCTTTGTTTCGGGCTTTTACAAAATCATATAATCAATTAAACAACACTGTGAACAAACACGGAAAACATTTTACTTTTGTGGAGGTTAGGCGTAGCAGAGTGGTCTGTAAGATTTAAGAATTGTATTTGTATGTCTAGAAAATCTCTAAATCTAGATAAACTTGCAAAGAAGAGTAAATTACCTTAGGTTTATAATACCTAAGCGATATGTGTACATCTGGGGGAATACTTTTAAGTATAACCCGAAGTTCAAACTTATTGCAGGGGAAAATAACACCTGAAAAAAAAAACCTTTAGATAATTATGGTGATAATATGATCTTATTTATTTGTGTAAAATAAATAATTGAAAAGGGGGCGTCTACACCTGTTCAAAATAATGTGAAAAGTAATAGCAAATAACAGGGGAGCTGCTGATTCGAGACATAAAAGGGATTTTCGCACTTCAGCTTTTTATGTAGAAAATTAAATGTTATGACCTGTAGAACGTTGTAGGTAAATTCCTGCATTTGATCTCGAGAATCGAAGAAGAAAATCAACGGGGAACTGGGGGAAGTGTGTTTATATATTTCATTTTGTTACTCAAGGTGATTCCATCCAGCTACCAAAATGCTCTATTTGGACCTCATACAGTCTCATTGATGTTTCAAGGAAAGAGATAGAAATACAAAAACAAACATGTGTAAACATATCGAATAACTGCAAAGTTTGGTGTAGATATGATTTTATACGAAGCCTTATCTTAGAGCTCCAGTCTAACTTTGCGTACAGGTCCCAACTGCCATTCATTCAGATAACAGAACTATTTACCGTATGTTGTATATGCGAATCAGCACCTTTTACTTTTAGGTATTTGTGCAAAAAGTCATTGTCTCTGAAAACCATATTTATTTTTCTTCTGAAATGCAAGTTTTTTTTATGTTGTACTTTTAGGGCGAGTTTATTACTTTATGCATGAATGCTGAGGCAAAACTTGTAAACCTGAGTATTGCCCGGCTTTATGGTATCAGCACACGCCTCCTTGTAGAATCCTTGTTAAACACAGCATGATGTGTATCTGTCATCGATTTAATATGTCTTAATTCAAAGACACCTCTAGAATCGATTCATAATAGTCGACAAAACAAACCCGTTTATGGGTGGGATCGGGTTCAGAGTGTTGAACACTAATGTAAACATTCTCCAGGAAAATAAATGTTAAATTCATACTATATACATACAAAGCCTATAGAATACATACAAGGTTTGGGAATTAGGCCTTTGAGAATTAAAGATATGCAACAGATTACAAATACTTAAGCAATGCTTTACAAATTCCTGTTAATTCTCGCAACTCTTTATGTTCTCAGACATAATACAATCAACACAAATTACAATAAGATTTCAGCTAAGTTTAATTCTAAAAAATACTTGATTTTACATTTTACAATATGTGTTCCTAGGCCTACATCTATAAAAAGTGTGCGCGAACAGATGAATAGCTATTATCAGTAATAACTATCAAGTATACAGTGGTCAGATAATGTCTGATTGAGTAGCTCGATATTAATTCAGCCAGCGGATTTTTATTTTCAGTGTTTTAACGAATATAATTTTCTTTCTATATATATATAACATTGTATCACACCCCAAGTCCGTTATGTGGAAAAAAATACTTAACTGCACCTTAGTTACGTACTTGACTAGAATTCAAATACATATGACATAAACTACATCCACACATGAAAATAAATATGTGTCTTGGAAAATGTATTGTAAACTAACTATGCATACTTAGACGCATGTATTATTAAGGGACATTTTTTACAAAGAAAGTAAAGGACCTCATCTCAGTAGGTAGGTAATTTTTAGCGTTGCGTTGTATCAGTGATATCTTATGATATATAATTATTCGTCTTCCACATTTATATTGAAACAAATTATTTCTGCTTTAATATGGGTCTTAACTCCAGTTCTACATTAATACACTGTGTAAAATTTGACTATTATGAAAAATATAATGTATAAATATTATAGAGCCACTGGGTAATACAATGCGTAAGACAAAAGAGCAACACAATCACACCAGATGCGAAATTTACACAATCTCATAACTTAAACCCATGTAATTTGATATGTTTTGAGGTTTGTTGTGTTTTCCATGTTCCGACACTCGTTTTTTAAGTTGTTTCACTTTCTGTATGAATGCGTCATAGGAAACACAAAACATGACCATATCGAAATCATCATTAAAGCGCTGCAGAGGTCTGTAGCCTCTACAGTCTTATTTCGTAAGCCACGTTTCCACACGCATGAGTGCCCATCTTTAATTATTGAACAAATACTCGAGTCTTTGAATATATATATATAGGTAATTAATGTTCACTTAGTAGGCTTACCTGCTTTACTATTTCACCTACTCAGTATAGAAAATTGTTTTATCATTTGCGTAATGTTTTTAAAGGTGAAATGAAAGAAAGACGGATAAGGTTATTGTTTGTTGATATCAAAGTCACACCCATACTGGAAGCTAGCTCAACGTTTATACCGGGTCATACATCATGATGTCCATCTTTGGCTGCTGTGTGTGCAACACACGTGTTCCTCCGTATAGACTACGTGCTCCTTGAAATACATATTATCAAATAATTTCTGTCTGACTATGCACTGGATTCTATTTTGAAATGTATTATCTTATTCATTGCGTCTTCCCACCTGAAATTCGGTATTTATAAAACGTCGTGCAAAGGACACCTGCGACGTCTTTTTCCACTTTGAGGTTTTCTCTTAAGCAAGACATCATGAGATCGTGACTGGTATAAGAAATAACATTTTACGTTATCAATTATTAAAAAAAAATAGGTTAGGCTTAAGGGTATTGCAGATTCAGCCAACCTTAACGTATACATAAATATGTTCTATAGTCTACAAATAAGGGCTCAGCAACCGGGTTGAGTCTTCAGGGCTTATTCGCACAATAACCTAAACAATACAGCATAATACGGGGTTTCTTTAAAATAACACCCTCTTGTTTTCCAAGAATACTTCCCAGATTTAACAGTTTTCTACCCATCGGTATGTAACACCGTGTCTATCTGAATTCGTAATACAACTTTCTTATACAATGAGGTTTTGTTAAACGGTTTGTTTGCCCGAGGAAACCTGCAAGACAACATATGTGGTCCTTCACGGGTCGTAGGTCGTGCGCCCTTGAAGTACCCAAGGTCGCTGGAATCAAAGTAAACTGCAATGCACAAGCTTGTTGATGATCTTGTCGAATTTATGAGTTTCTGCGCTAGACTTGAGTTACAGCTGACTCTTCCCAGTCACTTCTGCCTCAGCTTTACAAACCTGTAGCAAGAGGCGACATCGTCCCTTAGATTTTAAAATTAACACACTAATCAAATGTCATATTTTATGAAAAAGCTTAACAGATTTTAAAAAAGAAACATTCCACTTAATACGGTTTAGTCCTTAAAAAAACAGTGAATCGTTTAGAACGGATATTTCATGCGTGTAATCTTAAATTAAATATTATAGCGGTAGAAGACGTTACGTTTTTTAAATTATTTACCGGTCAAATGAGAGTCTTTTCCTCTTGTCTCTGTTGTTGGAACTGTATAGGCCTTCTGTAACCTGTTGAAATGCTCGTTTTCAACAACGGTTTAACTGCCATTTTCCAGGAAGCTGTGGTGAAAAGAGAATTTCTAGCCAAAGCTTTTAGAGCATTTGCGTTTTCTTTCTCTCACAGTCTTTTCCCCCCTCTACCCAGTGACATAGGGGAAAGGGGTTTTGCGGTTTTCCAGTGAAATAAAACACTTCTTAGAGGGGTCGGCAGACGTGGCTTTGAACTTGGATCAGCTCCTATGATTCCTGCAGAGAGGGTAGAACTAGAGTCCTGAAAGAATAGTACAGAATGTCCAGACTGCGGGGCTTCAGACTGGGGGAGAGAGTATTGCGAAGTTTTCATGTTTTTGCCTTTCTTTTTGCCTCTGGCAGATTACTGCTAAAGGGGGAAACGGTTTGAGGCGGTTGGGACAAGTTAATTTCGGTCTGGGAGGATAACGTGCGGGACGCGAAAATCACAGAAAGTAAGTGTACGTAAACGTTTTCAAAACCTGAGGTTTTACAGGAGAGGTTGAAGCAAGATGCTTTTGTTCGCAAGCGTAGCAGTCGGGTATGGTTTTAAAAGTTTGTGAATTGAAAGCGCTCGAACATAACATTCCAGCGTGATACCTACATAACAAACACCCACAAAAACACAACACACACCAGCCTAATTGAATTATTTTAAATACGTGGGAGTGATTAAGGGAGGGGGGGCGTTCCATATTATTGAGAGCACATGCAAATTTTAATATGAGAAAACGTGTGGTTTCAAACTTAACAGCTGGAGGTTGTTCTCGAAGCTTTTCAAAATATGTAAAAATTGTGGGCCTCGTATAGTGTTGATTGTGTTAAAGTTAAACTGTGGTGCATTTTAATTCTTCAAACAAAGATTACAAAAGGTGAAACAGGCCTGTATCTATCACCTACCTATCTGATGCCACTATATGCAGAAGTTTTGAAAATCAACGTGCTGAGAGCAACATCCTTTAAAAAAGATTATGAGGTGTTTTCTGACCGATCATCTTATATGCATGCGCCTGTGTGTGAAAGACTTTATGGTACATTAAAGGAAGAGGAAGTATAAATCAACGGGTCTAGGGTAAGACTACGTTATAACTTTATTTATTTAAAACATGTATTTGCCTTGGCATATACCTTACTTTTTTTGTTTACGTTGATTAAAAAAACATTTTTAAGTGTTCGCTGAACAAAATCTGTGTAGCCTGATGTTGTGTAAGAGCTCGCTATTTTTAAGAATTGCAAAACAATATGTACAATTTTTAACAAAATAAGTTTAATTAGATCAAACAATTTAAAAATGTTTGCTTGGATGAAGGGGACATGCTTTAAGAAACTAAAACGCTTGAATATTTAGGTTCGTTTTACTAGTGATGTACCAAATATTTACTCGTCAATCCCATTACACTTTTATTCATAACTATATAATTATTTCAAAATCCAGTGTCACAATGTTCATTCTTTTTAAATTGAAGTAAACAATAAATATTATTTTCCGTTCATGTCATTCGGGATAAAATAAAAATCTCTATCCGTTTTGTCCTAAACAAATATGACTTCATTTCGCATTTTATGACATTTTATTGCAATTCATATTCTCGGTGTGTATTAGTTAACGTCAATAAATTGTGTTGAAAAGTACTCTATTCTTTATTATTCTTGACAAGCATTGAATATATGTTCTGTTGGAATTTAATTGAACAGCCCACAATATTATTGACGGTTCTTAGTTTGAAAATTGTATTAATTGTAATAAACAGGTCTGAGGAAAACTCATCAAGAATGATTCTAAATGCAGTGTTAGGCTGTCAGTGGCACCAAAAATTTAAAACTGATTTTCAGAGATCATAACCGATAGTGTTCTTCCCTTTCTTTCTCCTACTAAAAAGTAGGCGGTAATTATGAGTGGAAAATGGCGAACTGCGATTAGTGGCTGAGGGGGTACCTGGGATTGGAGGGGTACCTGGGATTGATGAGACTCGGTGACCAATGAGAAAGCGGCGAATGAATGACCGGGCTCCAGTTAAAGGGGCGTTAGAGGAGGAACTGCCAGTCCACTGAGAAAGAGACCCTCAGAAATAAACACAGACAAACGAGAGAAATAAACACACCAATCGGAACAACAATCCGAGATGCACCAAGGACCAGCATTCCGTGTTAGGAAGATCTCGTAAAACGATCCTTAACTCTTCGTATCTGAATCGCTGGTGTCTACAGGTTTTGGAAGGAAAAAAGACGCTAAGGGATCTTTCTACACCTTTTCATGGGGATTCTGAGTTTGTAACTTTACCACATGAAAATATATAGCAGTACGTAATAGGAGAACGGCTAGGTTGTTTTTCAGCTACAGGACTACCGCTACGAACTTCGCCTGATGTGGCGTTTTTCGCTTAGGGAAGGCGAGACTCTTCCACATAAAGGCTAGGGTTTTTTTAAAAAAAACTTTCTTTCCTAGTTCGGAGGCTGCTTTGAAGTTTTGACCTACAATCCATACGAACATTGCTATAGCATATCCATATCCAATTGGCTATTAGCTCGAAGAACACTTATCGATTGACTGAGAGAATGTTGTTGGACGCTGGTCATCAGTTCCCGGGATTGGGAGTTGGCACGTTTGCCAGGCATCACTCGGCAAGCGAAATGCAGGACAGAGACTTGAGTTTAGCACAGAATAGCTTTGTTGATTCTGCTCATATGGGGGCTTTTAAACTTAACCACGACCTCTCTCCTGGACAGAGCTCCGCTTTCACTTCACAGGCTCCGGGTTACCCCGCCGCGGCTTTGGGCGCGCATGCCGCCCATGTCACCACGTACGCGAGTTCGCCTTTTAACTCTACAAGGGACTTTCTCTTTCGCAGCCGCGGTTTCGGAGACTCTTCTCCGGCGACCAGCCAGCATGCTATTTTCGGTCCCACCGCGGGGTCTCTTCATCACTCCCATACGGACACTCAAGGCCACATACTGTTTCCTGGGATCCACGACCAGCACGGAACCCACGGCTCTCCAAATGTTTTGAATGGACAAATGCGCCTTGGACTACCGGGGGAGGTTTTTGGGCGATCGGATCAATATCACCAGGTATCCAGCCCGAGGACCGACCCTTACTCTGCAGCCCAACTCCACAATCAGTATGGTTCTATGAATATGAACATGGGTATGAATATGGCAGCTCACCACCACCACCCGGGCGCTTTCTTTCGCTATATGAGACAGCAGTGCATTAAACAAGAGCTCATCTGCAAGTGGATCGACCCGGAGCAGCTGAGTAACCCGAAGAAGAGTTGCAATAAAACTTTCAGCACAATGCACGAGTTAGTCACTCATGTGTCGGTGGAACACGTCGGAGGACCCGAGCAGAGCAACCATATCTGCTTTTGGGAAGAATGTCCAAGAGAAAGCAAACCGTTCAAAGCTAAATATAAATTGGTCAATCACATCCGAGTCCACACGGGAGAGAAGCCGTTTCCTTGTCCATTCCCTGGATGTGGCAAGGTTTTCGCTCGGTCGGAGAACTTGAAGATACACAAGCGAACACATACAGGTAAATATTGACCATCTTTTTTTTTGTCGTTTTTTTTTTCTTCGCGTTGAATTACTTTACCGTTTAGCCGCCTCGACTTAAAATGAGTGTAGAAATATTTCATCCTCGCGATACAAGTTGAAAGCAACGAACTTTGCTTGTCAGAAGGAAAATATAAATCCCTGTACTGTTAACGGCCTAGCAATTGTGGTTATGGGAGTATGGTGTAATTGAATGTTTCGACTTTAAGGTCTAGTTATGAGTAAAATGTGTTTTTTCCCCCCCTGGCAGATTGCGAGGCGTAGATTTACTCAATTGGATTGAAAATGGTAAACAAACGGAAGTCTAGTTCGGATTACGCCTTGTCTAGCCTAGAATAAATGTGCAATGTTTTGCAACAGTTTGTTAAATTATGTAACAGTCTGTCGAGGGTTTGTGGTTCATAAACTTTAAAACGGGTCAAAGGCAATTTAAGGACTCTGGGTTTGTAGCGAATCGCGCGTGCGGAGTAGTAATAAATCATTCCTGATACTGATTTCATACTAATGTATCCGTTTGTAATGGGCATGTTCTACCACCAAAGTTACGTATTATTAGTGCGGCTATTTTAAAATATTAACTGTAAAATTAAGGAGATGTTTACTTTCTGGAATAATAGGAAATTGGAGGCCTTTTGTTTTCTTGCGTTGCAGTGGGTGACAGGCGAGCCATAACTACGGTTTTAAATGTAGTAGAATCGTTCAGTTTGCGAAGATGTTTCAGATGATCTAAATGCTAATGTGATTCTTATTGTTTCCTCCTGAATAGCGCGCATTAGCCTTTTAAAACACTCCGTAAGAATAATTTATTTTCGTTGAATTAAAGTAATTTTTAATCTGGCCATCGTTTTCGAAATTTAGCGGCTGAATTTTGATTTCAGCGTCCACATGTTTTTTTGAAACTTTAGACCAAAATTGTCTGTGAGGGATGAAGTAATTTGTTTTCAAATACAAATGTGATTTGTTTGTTTTGGGCGGCGCTACCCTCAGGTGTTAAGGTTAATTTTCATCTGAAAGGGAAGTAAAAGGTGAATTTCAAGTATTGTTTAAGGGAAGATCGTGTGGACTAACAGGAATCTGAATTATCCTATAGGGGCACCTTTTAAACGTTATTGATTTATTTCAGAACGTTTTATATCCATTTGATTTAACGGTATTTTAGATTTTATACACATAATTATCAGTTGTACGGTTGGCAGCAATTTATTCGGCACGGTTCTTTACGGCCTTAAATTTTTGAATTGGCACCATTTGTTGCGACTTGTAATTTAAATAAATTTTGACCTTTTTTTTCTGCTTCTTTTTGTAGGTGAAAAACCTTTCCAGTGTGAATTTGAAGGCTGTGACAGACGTTTTGCAAATAGCAGTGACCGGAAGAAGCACATGCATGTCCACACTTCAGATAAACCGTATCTTTGCAAAATGTGTGACAAGTCCTACACTCACCCCAGCTCTCTAAGAAAGCACATGAAGGTAAGAAGAAAAATTAACACCACCATCTTCGAAAGGTTTCTAGCTTCCACGTTTGGCCCTCTTTATTGAATTGAGCAGGGCATAAATAGTGGTTGTGTATGACAACCATATTAATCTCTCGAACCGGTGCGTTGTGTATGCGACTATAATGTCACTCGGTATTTAAAATACTGTAGATCTAATTTTTATTATCCCTAAATCACAAAGACGTTATTTGATTTAACGAGCTTTTGATTTTTTCCCCCGTTACTTTCTAACTCGAATTGTAATCTGTGCTTTTCTAGGTTCACGAATCGTCTCCTCAAGGTTCAGACTCTTCGCCAGCAGCGAGTTCAGGCTACGAATCGTCTACACCGCCCGGCCTTGTTTCCCCATCGACTGAAACCCAAAGTAACACTAATCTGTCGCCAGCTTCGGCAGTACACAATAACAACGGCCATACCAGCCTCTCGTCCAATTTCAGTGAATGGTATGTGTAGGACAGTCTTCAAAGCCCAGAACAATTTTGACAGAACTTGAAAAACATCTTTGTGTACATATAAGGGCCGCCTGTACAAAGGAGTCACACATAATGGACGCTTTCATATTATGCGATAATTGAAATCAGGAAACTTGTATTGTGAATACAATAATCGACCGAGGAAAAAGATCATTTGGGAAAATTTCAATATAATGTAAATAAGGCTAATGACAGTAAAAATTACGCTAATAAAAATGCCCCTCCTACCCCATGACTGTAGTGAATTGTCAATCTTTGGTGTATAGATGTTCCTTCAATGGTAGCTATTTCTCTAACTGGACTTTTAAACTAGTGCACATATTACAATAATAACAGGAAAATCTTTTGTACTATGATGTTGACTATTGTGATCCCATTATAAAACAACGTGATTGTAACTATACAACTATATAAACTGGAAACAGTGCCAAAGTTAACAGTTAACTCCATCAGACACAATGTTTGCTTGTGAATGTATATTTTCGTTAGCTGGTTTCACTTGTGATGTTTTGTGCTTTGCAAGTTCAAATTGTGAAAAACTATTTGGGAAGATTGTGGGGAATCTAAACGTTGTGCCGTTAATTTTTCTGTAACTACACCCTTTTGTAAATATCCGCTACCATATTTATCCATTTGTAATTAAATTATGGTATTTACTTGCTACAGATGAAACAATATTTATAAAGAATGTTTCTTAACTATAAATATGTACAATTGTGAGCTAAACAGGAATTGTTTTTTGAGGTATAAAACTTGTTTTCTCCATTTCTTGTGATACGTTTCAAGAGTTTTACTGCATACAGAAATATAATAAAAATGTGTTGCAAGTGTTTAATTATTTTCCGTTTTGCTTTACTTATTTCTTGAAGCTATTGTGAAAAATGACACCCTGTACATGCAGGAATGGGCATCCGTTAAGTAAAAGGGGAACATATTGTAAATGTAGGCGTCAAGAATATATTAAATTGCATGTTAACCTAATTATAACTTAAACCTCGGGACTTAAAGTTGAACATAATGCAAATGCGGTTTCATTTTTTTCCCCAAAATCAACTGAAGTGATTTTAGTACAAAGTTTTAAAGTTCATAAGCGCACGCGAGATCCAGGTAATTCCCTTTTGATTATATTTTCCTTTTTTTTATCCGCCAGGGACTGAACAGATTCGCTATAGAAAACCGATATTTTTCGATATATTCATTCATAAATCAATTAAAACCATCTGTCATTTTCTGATCCTGAGCGTTGATTCTAATTAGGAAAAGTGGAAAGCAAAGTCAAATTAGGAAAGACCTTTTAAAATAAACAACCGTGATCTTGCGAGCTAAAAATTGACAAGGTGAAGTAAGGATTGCAATATTGAAGTGTCCTGAAAACTTCGGGCGTTTTATTACCGTCTTTGTCGTTGACGTATAAAATATAGCGATTTACCTTGGTCATACACACAGCTTTAAGAATAAAGACGTTCCCGGTGTAGGCTGCAGAACTAACAAAATTGCAGCGCAACAAACTATTGAACTTGGAATCGAGAACGGACAAAACTATTTAATAGGTCCTGGAGTGGTCTCGGTAAATTTGTTTACAGATCAGACGAAAGGACATGACTACAAAATGGGGAACAATGTTATTCATTTCAACAAAACCTGTAGTGATTTGCAATGTGATGCAGATTGAAATTGTAGCCTAATAAAAACTTACATACACACGCAGAAACAAAAAATACTCAAGCTAACTAGCTGAGAAATGTTGTATCCAGCCGTGAGAGAATAAGTAGAGGTGTTTTTTTTTGTCTAGCCTTGAAGTGGTCTTCATTCTCAAATTCTAATTTGGAGTTATTTTTTATATATTTGGTTTGCTGTTTTTATCTGTGGTCTTAGAAACCGCCTGTCAGTTCATCGAAGGCTGACTTTGCAACGCAACATCAGGCCACGGGAGCTTAAATGTCTTCTCCAGCAGAGCTTGGAAAGGCAAGACCGGGGTCAGCATTTCCTTGAGTATAATATATGTACTTCTGGTTTGACGAAATGGATAGCCTATTGTCTGTACAAAATACTCAACTGGAGAACTCAATCCTGTTTAAGACCGAAGTCCTCTACAGCATGTTAGGCCTCTAAGGCTGCAGTTAAAATACAGGGTTTAGAACCGCGCAAAGATGAACTTGAACCTGACTCTGACTACGGATAAAACACTCATATTCTGAGCGCACGCAGCGTTGCCTATAAACGTGGATGCACATATAATGCGTCATTGTAGTGAAACATTTTGTGTCATTTATAGGAAAATAGCTTTCTATTTCATGCGGACTGTTTTCTGTTTGCATGTGGGTTACGCAGTTGTACTTTGTGCAGTAGGTGTGTAGACAGACTTGTCACTACCATGCTTCTCGCCCATGTTCAGTTGTCAGTCTAAAACGTCACGGTTTTATTTATCTTACATGGGTTTGTGGTTTCATGGTGTATTCAGTGTTGTAACCAAGAACAGAATGTTTTAAAATGGTATAAAGGGCAAGAGGCAGATATTTGCACGAGTATCATGTTAACAAATACAACCGGTTCTATGCTTCTTTGCAGCACTCATTTTTTATATAATCCTGACCTGACATGATCGAAATGACTAATATAAGTGTCTTTGTGTATGGCTATATTGCATATATGAAAAAATGAAAAGACATACTTAGAAAACAGGCAAAGATGTGTATACCTTAATAATACTGATATCTTATTTGTTATGACGCTGCTGCTGTAGGTGTGTAGAAAATTGAAAATCCGCCCGGGGGTTACAATCAAAGGAAGTAAGGAATGATAGATTGACAAAATTCTGTGGAAAAGCTCAGCTGCTTTTCTGGCGTTCAAGTGTGGCCGCGATTTTAACTAGAAGGAGAGACTGTGATTTGGACTCCAAGTTCAATTCCCTCTTCAATGAAAATAATGAAAACTACCGTTTCGGAGTACTTGCCAGCCAAACCAAACGTGCTTCTGGCTTTATTTGTTTTGGTTTTAAAGGGAATATTTAAAACCTTTCGTTTTCTCCCCCCAAAAATGAGACATATTGTAAAACCGTTAAAATGTAAACATATTATCTTATCTCGTAGTGCGTAGTTTGAATATCAATGCAAAATACAACTTTACATTTTTCTTAAGGGTTGCTGGCCTTATGCAGTATGTATTACCACAAAACCCAAGAAACAACCGCCCCGCAATAAAATAGATTTTCTTCCCTTAACTCAAAACACTCGTTTAGTGTTATCACATGTAAATGTGGTTAGCCTTACAGAAGCCACATGGTGCATTAAGTCCCTTTTTAAAGCAGTTGTTACATTCATCGCCAAGTGTAAATTGCATAAACGACAACAGTACGTGACAGGTATATGACCATTAAGACTGAGCATAGCTGTCTCGAGATACTCGCAGGTCTTAATTTTGAGCACAATAATAGAAGTAACAAGAGTAATAATGAACAACTTTTTATAACACGTATAAAACTTCTTGACGTCCAGTTCACAGATAAAGACCCGTGTGTTGGCCAAAAAATCGGAAGGAGAATGTTCGTCATGTGTATTTCAAAACAATTCTAATCGTAATTGTTCAAAGTTTGGTATTTATTTGAGTAATATAGACAATATTATTTTTGTCGTTTCATGGTGGACGATTGTGCTTGATATTAACAGGATATACTGGAGGATAATGCAAGTTGCTCTAGTGGAGTACATGTCTGCTTAGTAATTGTTTTTGGACTCAGTTTTTTTCAGACTCATTTCGTCGCGTTGTGTCAGTTTGCTTGAGAGTTCGGACCGAACTTACGTAGATCGGCTCAGAGAGGTGAATTTCCGACCGTACTTGCTTACGTGAACATGGCTACCGAATTTCCTTTATGCACGTTTTTGGGGCGGCATGCGGTAAATGGTGGCTGTCTGACCTGTTTGGATGAAAATTATTTGACCTGTAAGGAGAGAGTGAAAGGTCAGCGCCACGCAGAGCTTCGATGCCTATTCGCTCCCGGCACATGCTGTTATGATATTGATCCATCAAGAAAGATAAACATAAAAAGCTGAACTCTTTCTCATGAATACCAATTAATGTTGGTTTTGTAATTGGAAAAGAGCTCTTTTGGGTAATATGAACTAAATGTATTTTTCTATACATTAAAGTTAATGAATTAAGCACGCTTCCATTGTAGGAGTTCCTTTAAGCTAATTTATATGTATTTAAATATTTAAATCGATCTTAAATGAAAACTGAAGCATTGTTTGTGGAGCAAATGGAGTAATTTGGATTTTATTTGTTGTTTTTGTAAAGCTTTCAAAATTATTTAAAACTATTTGAATGTTACAGAAAGAATTTTCAACCCTTCACCTTTTGACTATTCAATAATAATAATGACTGTCTTTACTTAAGTCCAGTAACTCCGTCGTTTGTTTATAGGAACTTTGAAATAACGTTTCGTGGCATAGTTTTAGAGTCAATGACTCACGTAAATTCAGTAAGTTTATTGTAAAACTTCAGCTTTCAAACCGTGAAATGACGGCTGTGAGGAGATTCTCCGACTGAAAATGGTCTTTTTGTTACTGCAAGTATGTACTTTGCTATGAAGCCCTAACATAAATTTGTGGTTTGAAGAGGGCCTGAGAGACAGAGGGTGTCTAAAAATAATATAAATAAACCCGATTAGTCACAGCTCATAACATCTGAGGGTTTAGCTTCCAAGATTGATTTATTATGTAAGTAAGTTTAGGATGTATAGTTTATGGTTTGAATTACTGGCCTGGGTACCACGACAGTTGACACTTTGACCTTTCATTCGTACCTGCAGATGTAGGTCCTAATCTCCAGAATACCTCTCAACACCATTTTATAGTGTTTGTCTTTGATTCCCGCTACCCGTAAGACCTTACAGTAGTAATGCAGCTGTCACTGGAAGATAAAAGTGTTACTAAAAAAAATAAATAAAAAAAGTATATGATGAAAAGGGTTCAGTCCTATTGTTTATAAAGACAAATGAATAACGATTACAAGAATCCATGCACGTGAGTCGTATAGGGTGAGTGTACAGTATGTGTGTATTCGCACGTATGAGTTATTTCTCGAGTTCCGCTATTCTTTCTTAATAGTATTAATAATAAACAGCAGACTAATGTTAAAGGGAAAAGTAAGTAAACGAGCATGAAATATAATTGGAAAAGTTTTAAATTTAAAAAATGACAATTTGGGTTATCTTTATATAAGGGGGAGGGACAGGGGCTAATTCTTGCGCTGCTTAAAGAAAGCTCATGTTTGTTGCAAAGAACTGGTATTAAATAAGCTGTGTACAAATAGTTTAAGAAAAAACTATAAAAGTGTAGCTACATTTTAAAACCTGATTTTTTTTCTTAAGTTTTGTTTTGTTTTCATGATTTAATTTGGGACAGGTTACACAATTCATCAGTTTCTGTTTTACTTACAACATCGTAGCTTCTCATGAATCAGTAAAGTTTATCGAATGGAAAAAACGGATTAATATTTCGTTTCTGATTTTTTTTTCTTTATTGTTTATTGTTCCGCGATTAGGCCGTTTAACATCAGGTAAGCGAATACTGTACATAAACACGGAGTTTATGGATGTTAGGATAACATCGGGAAAACTGAAATTTATCAAATAAAGTTGTAGGAATATAGGCATTTTTTAAACAACACAGAGAACCAGAATAAATTAGCTGTCAAGAAAATTTAGCATATTACAGTTTATAAGCAGCTCTTTTAACTTATGCAGGATTTAAGCTAAATATGCATTAGAAACAACCAAATCAGTTAAAAAATAAATCAATCGTCTACTGTGAAAAGTGAAAATAAGATATTCATTGTTGCTTATATGCATATACATGTCACTAATTGTGGCTTATACGCATTCATAACTAATATAAGTTTTATGCGCCATTAACCCATATAAACCTATATAAAATATAAAGCGATTTGGTAGGTAATATTTTGTTTTGTATATTGCAGATAAAATTGTATAAATATGGAGATTCGGCTTTGAAACCCTGGACTTTCTAGACGAGGTGAATGTTCGAGGTTACACGATGGTCCAACAGAGGTAAAAACTCAAATTCGTGCTCTCGTAAGAAAAACTCTGAAAGACAACTGACAAGGCTTTTGTCGGAGACATCTTTTAACTATCGATTTTTTCATCATTAAGATCTTTCTTAGTTTACAAATGTCTTATCTGGTACATCATATTTCAACCTCTTCTGAAACCCTTACACATAGACCCCACATTAACACTTGTTAAAGATCAATGTGAGCTCGTTACTGTAAAACGGTAAAGAATATTAAAGTTATTTTAGTGTCCTTATGTTTTCTACGTGTGATTAAATGGAATGATATACACTAACTGCTTTAGCGTCTATAGTGTCTTTACACTTCGACTTTACCTGTAGCTCAGAATTGGAAATTGGAGCGTCATGTTTTAAGTTTTCAGAATCAGAAATAATTGCTACAGAGGAAAATAAGTACAAGGAGTGTTTCCTCCGATTCAAACAGAGCTTTTTTCACGTTTGAAAATTTTGTGAAAGAGAACTGTCTCAGTTAATTATTTTGAGACTTGTAGTTTTGTCAAGAAATTAGAACGTTATGATTGGCATATTTCTTGTCTGAACTCACCTTAAACTTTCTTTCAGAGGTGAGTATATACTCGGTTAATTAAAAGTTTTGAAGGAACTTCAAGTTATAATTAAGTGATTGTAATTAATGTCCCTCCCCCTACCCCACCCCTACCGTTAGACTCAGTAGGGTACTGCTATTCCCGAAATAAAGTCCCCAACCTGGAATAAAATAGTCCATACTAAATTAATTAAAAGGCGGTCAGAAATGCAGATTATTTTGGATAAGAAACTTTTAAATATGTATATACTGTACTATATATATGTTTATATAATACTTTAACTAATTCCATCAAGTTATAGTGATTTTTATTTCGCTTTAATACCTTTCGAGTCCATTAAATTTTATGCTAATCATTCAATCTTTTATTTCTGTATCCCGCTGGCTTTCAGAACAACTGTAAAATAGCCCCTATATTTTTTTCCTCTTAGTCAAAGAAAGACGTTAAATAAAAACAAAAACATTCTGGGGAATTACTGCCAGCACTCGGAAGAGCCAGAGAAATCTCTCCAGCCGCGGGACGACATGGACTGTGATAAAACTGGGCTCTAAGATTCAGACCCTTTTTAGGATTCCCCTTCCTCCGGGATATGAAACCATTGTATGTTCTTACTGCGTATCCAGGAAAAATGTGATGTTAAACGCTGCATATATGCAAGGAGAAGTTTTTTTTTAAAGGGTTTTACGAGTACAAGATAATTTCACGTGAAACCCTAATACACTTCATTTTAAAGACAGCGACTTACGCCTGACATATAATGATTCAAAAATAGAGAATTAAAAAAAAATATTAATGCATTATTAAAACAATCATAATCCTTGAAACCTTTAGCTTGGGTTACTGCGCATCAGCAAATCATTGCATCACCAGCATCATAAAGAATTATATCACAGCAACAGCAAAAATAAGTTTGGACTGCAAATCCATTGATTCTAGCCTCTGACGCGCTTTCTTCGTTAATTGGTAATGGTATAGATACAGTTTATATATATATAGATAAAATCTACGAAATTAGGGAAAAAAGATTTTTGTAAAGTCTTGTTGGGATAATTTGTACGGAGAATAAACCTCTTTGTCTATATCAAAGAACCATTTGCTCAATGAATAAAGGTTGCAATTTTACAGTTTTGCTGCTGTCACGCGTTTCAGTGAATGCCCGTTTTTTAGTGGTACTTGACAGTTTCGAAAGCAGTTTAATTTAGACATACTTTTGCATTCAGAAGAGCTAAATGGAATTAATTTGCTAATAATCCATGCTCTTTTAAGAATAATGTGGCCAAGTCTAAGTTTTTTTTATTTTTTAAAACTCCCCTCTCCTGACCACCCCAAAGAAAAAGAAGCGAATCTCCAACATATTTCCAGATAAAATATATCTCCGGATATATTTTATTTTTGTTTTATTGAAGCTAGTTTACAATACCTCATTTGCAACTTATATATTATGTGATATTTAGAATAGATAATAATTTCTTTTCTAGGATTGGTTTTCAGTTTTTTTCTTCAAGTCTCCTTTTTCCTAAGGCTATTTTGAGAACCTGTGCACCTGCGCTAAAAATACTTTGTTTCTTGGTGTTTTCATCCAAGTTCGGTAGATTTAAAGTTTTTGTTTGATATGGAAGAGGTTATACAAATTAAAATAGTAACTTTTCTTTCTCAAGGAGAGTACGGTTTTCCAAATACTTTTTGACAAAACAAAATTAAAGAAATACACAAGTTATGTCTTAAAAGTTTAAGTTAGAAATGTAGTATTTGATTTTTATTAAATCTAACTACATAAGTAAATATAATGATTATGCTCTGTGTCTTAACAGATCAATATACTCACACTGAGTGCAGAGCAGATGTTGTGAAACAGTTGCATTTTTATTGCGTATTACAGTTTGAAAAGGTGAAATACAGGACGAAAATCCAGTGGGGAATGTCTGTTTATTTAATCAAATAATAAACGCTATTTAAGTAAATTGATATTAATCAATTTACCTGGCTCGGCACATGCTAAACATTCTTAACGTGAAAGGATATCTGTCATTTAACACTCATGTGTGAATATATCACATAAATTAAAACACCTAAAATTGCTTTGCTTTTATTAATCAATATTCGTGTTAAAAGATAAGTAAGAAAACATCGTTAGCTCCATCTTTGCGTCAATATTGTACTTTCATTGCAGCAGAATATACCGCCAGTATCACAAGAATACAACACCTCCAAAGCCAGCATTTAAAGGCATTCTTGCTAAAAAAAAACAATCATGAACTGTGAGAATATCTGATTCATGATCATCCTTAAGTTATTATTTAAATAAATGTATCTTTGTGGCCTTTTGTTGAAATAAATTATATGCATGCTTTGATTTCTTGCCAAATGTCGGATAATCCATTTTCGTAACGGATGCCAATTAATGTTTAATTTTAGAAACATCTTTAGCAAACAACTATTAAGGTTAATTTATAGTAACTGGAGTGGGGTGTAGCAAACCAAGAGTTCGTGATGTCTATGCATTTCTGAAGTTTGATCAACTCTGCACAGGAACGACGTGTTAAAGTTTTTAGACCATTTTAAAGCGGTTTTCTCCACTGTTTGACTTCATTAAGATATTCGATTGAATTTGGTTGTGTATTTTTGTAAGGAGGACATACCATAATTTTATTCTGGGGGAAATGCATTTTGTCACTGGTTGTTAGTGGCCATGAAATTCTAAAAGTTAATTTACGTCAGGTAACAAACTTTAAAGTCGCATCCGTCTCCTGAAATTAAGTTTCAACAATGGTTTTGTATAATATAAACAAAATGTTTTAAGGAAGAATAGAAATCTGAAACATTAAAAACATAAAAGATTTCAGTTTGTCCTAAATACCGAGTTATGAAATATATTTAACACACAAACTATAACAATAGCAGTAGATAAAAAAAGACAATTAAAGGTACAGTATTATGTCAAATAAAGGTTATTTGTTCTAACAGATGAAAGAGCTGATGACCCGATAATAAAGAATAATGTATGGAGTCATGCTTTTTGAAGGATTTTTGTTAAAAAAATAAAATGAATAAAGCAACTACAGTGTACGGGTTCTTATCAAAGACCGATTTCAGGATTTGGGTAATATCATACTTGTTTGTTTACTTACTTGTGTGTTTCATTTCACTCCTAGTTTACTGCAAGGACAGTACAATAATTCTTTCATACACACAATTTGCTTGTTCCTATGTAGTTCGTACTGTGTCTCTTCATTAAATAACTTGGGCTGTGAGAGTCTGGAACACACTGCCCTGCAATGCTGTTGGAGCCGATACCTTGACTTTGTTCAAGAAGCGTCTGGAAGAGATCCTCAGATCAATTAACAACTAGCAATCAAGCTAGCAAGACTGGTCAATGGCCTCCTCTCTATTGCAACCTTTCTTATGTCCTAGGTGGACTGTTCTCCTCCATATTCTCAGTTTTCTCCAGACATGGATTGCCCAGAAACCAGAAGTCTCTTTTTGTCTTATTAATGGGAAAAACTGTATTAGACCCCTTTGCAGTCTTAACCATTTTGATAGCATTTATTCCTGCAGCTCACTCCTGAAAGTTTTCCTATTTAAATGTCTGTTTTGGAATGATGTCAGACACATCAGCTTTGTTTCTTCAATGTTTTTTTAGTTGTATTTTTCTCATTCGGTTCTCATTCACCTCCCTGATAACCAGATACTTCATCCTTTTCTTTGTCAATTATTTTTCTCTCACTCAATTTGGAGGAAGCAATTGTGTTTTTTTTTTCATGACCGCTTTTGAGCCACTCCTTCCTAAACTCTATATCGGAAACTGGAAGAGAGATGAGTCCCTGAGTTCCACGAGCCTGAATACACCCAGGAGGCCACAGGGGTGGTGGCTGTGTAGCTGAGAGCAGAGAAAGCCCTGGCCAACAAACACTGTTTGGTCACAGTCGGCTAGTTACATGGCCCATGAGTACAGAGTTCAATTTGTACTCTGGCAAGTATGTTTACCTGTTGGTCTGCTTGGGAGGTCCCCCATCAGTCTTTTCAAATCTAAAGACATACAAAGATACACATACACAGTACATATACACCTAAAGAAGGCTCCACAGCCAAAACATTTTGTCTCTTTTCCTTTCAGCATGGAATAAACCTTTATGTGTTCCTTTGCAGCCTACACATGTTGATGCATCTACTGTACTTACTTGAACTACATCATATATATATATAGTCTCGCACCTGAAGAAGGCTCCACGGCTGAAACTTTTTTTCAGTATGGAATAAACCTATTACTTGTTCCTTTGCAGCCTATGCATGCTGATGCAGATACTAACCTGAACTACTACAGTATATACAGTATATATGTGTATGAGACCAAACTAAGCATATTATTTTAAATTGTCTTGTCAGGGGTCTTACTAGTGCATTGTGAAGCTTAAGTATAACTTTCCATTGTAGGG